CTCGCCGCCATCAGGGACCACGTCCGAATGATAGCGCTGCATGTGCCGGTTAAGATCGCCCTTCCACTTGCTTTTAAAGTCACAGATGTGGCACTTGAAGGGCTTCTCTTTTGAGTGTACGCGGACGTGTCGCTCAAGTTCGGAAATCCAGCGAGTCTTGTAACTGCAATCAGTTAATCAGTTTAGTAAAACGCAGAACACAAATAGAACAACGAGAAACATACCCGCAGTAGTTGCAAGAATGAATATTCTTTATGTCGTCAAAGACCTTACGCTGACTAGTGGTCAGCGGGGTAGGCGTACAGTCATTGCCATGCTTTATGTTCATAATGCTCTTTGAGTCAGAGTTGATGTGATACTTGTCAAAGTGCTTTTGCGCAGAAATAATATCGCCGAAATTGATCTTGCAAGCGGAGCACTCCAAATTGATGGGATCTACAGTGGAGGGAAACAAGTTATTGACAATGGAACTGAGAAGACTTGCACACGTTACGAACCGTCTCTATCATTGTCAGCTGCATCAGAATCTTGGGCGTCACCATTGTTGTCGTACTCGTTGAGATTCATTTCGAAGTTGTTCATCGGATCAAAGTCGTCGTTGTCATTCAGCGAGTCATTTTCGTCATCCATCAACATGTCTAACAACAAAGCGATTGAAAGAGAAAGGCAATATTGGCAACGTCAGTACACGAGTGAAACCAGCGTGAAAGTGAAAAGGAAAACAAACCTGGCTCAAAGTTCGAGTTGCTGATGTCATTGTCGAGGAGGCCGTTTCCGTTGGCGCCCTGTTCACCAGCTGACATCCACTTTTGGTATTGTCGACTGCTGAAGTTGCCCTCCTCACCGGAGTGCTGCTCATTCGAAGGAGAGACCATGGCACCGGTGCTCTTTTGCCCGTGAACCAGTACAAGATGCCGTTGTAACTTCTAAAAAGCGCAATATAGAAGAATTGCCAGTTATCAACACTGAAGCGAGAGGCAATGCAGCAGGCAAATAGAACACAAAGCCTTACCTGGGTATACTGACAGGCGTAGATGCAGTAGGGGCAGAGTTCAATCTTTATCTTGTGGCCATGACCGTCACGACGGTGGTAGAGAAACTCGCGAGGATTCACCGTACGAAAGCTGCAGTCATTGCAGCTGTACTGCCGGCGAATTCGAGTGGCCGGTAGAGCGTCCTTGCTGAGCGAAGACAGAGACTTGGGGGTGCTCGAGCCGGAGGTGTTGACACTGTCCGGATGGCCGTAGAATCGCTGGTCGTCGTAGTAGTTGTTGTCCACAAAGCCGGCTTTCCAGTCAAACTCGTCTGCCTCTTCTTCATTTCCATTGTTTGGAGTGCTGTTGTAGTGCTGCTGCTGCATCTGTTGGCGCATGTTGTGCAAGGCACGCATGCTGCTGCCATCGCCAGTCTGTTCTTGGCGAAATTCTCTCTGGAGCTTCTTGCTCTTTGGCTTCGACGCTGACAGATTATTCATGTGGAAGGAGGACGACGACGACGCGCCTCGGTTTGACAGCTCCTCGCTCATTGACTCGAAGTTGGCAGAGAACTCGGCGATGCTCTCATCGCCACCGGCAGAGGCGAGCTCCTTGGCGAACTTTGCCTGTGCCGATTTGAGAATGTCCTGGTGAAACTCAATCTGGTGGCGAATGAGTGTGTCGTTGTCTTCGGAAACGAAGCCGCAAAACTTGCAACTTTTGTTGCCTAAAGGAAGCAGGTGTGTTAGTAAAGCAGATGTTGCCGGCACAAGGGTCAGAAGTACCTTTGGAGCCGCATATGCCGTGGACATCCTTTCTATGGCGAAGCAGATTTGTTTGATATGCCTAGTAGAGTAAGCAGAATAGTTTGGGAATAATGACACGTGCTCGTGGAAAGGTAGGCATAAACTGAAAATGGCACTCTTACCGTTACAAATGGACACAGCACGCATTTGAGAGCATTCACTGTAGAGAAGAGGCGCGCATGAAAGGCAAGAACAAGCGAAATCAGTAAGTTGAAGTTGAAGCAGAGCAAGAAAGGGAACCATCAAGCAACTTACCATTGTGCATAATGGACTTGTGTCTGGACAGCTGGCGATTTGACTGCGCTCGGTAGGAGCAATCAGAGCAACTGATTTCAATGTTTTTAGGCCCATTCGAGCTCTTCTTGACAAGAGCCGAAGAAGCCATGTTGAATTGGCGCCGAAGACCAACGGGAGAGAGATACTGAAGTTTAAAACTTTGCTGTTGTTGGGGTAACAGTTTGTGTTGCCTGATGATCAAGTGATAGTGAACGATAGCGGTGGTGGTGATATTGTCTGCGTCTGCTTTGGCTGCGATGTCTGTTGATTCATCAAAACAAATCGCCTGGAGAGCACAGAAAAAGCGCTAGAAGTGGAGGATGAGGTGGACAACTGAAGAAGGAGGAGGAGGAGAGGAAAGAGCTTCAACGAAGAATAGGCCAGGCTGTGCACTAGCCACCGGAGTGCATGGATGGGAGAGGGAATAAAGAGGCGATAGCGGGAGAAGAAGAAGGGGAGCACCTGAAGAGGAAGACGCACTGAGACACCGCTGAAGCTGTCAGCTGAAGCTCTGCTTCGCCTGGTCGCTCAGCTGCAAGGGCTGCAACAACAGCTTGCCTTGATGAAGAGGCAGCTCACACCGCTCTCAGCTAGCACACGCTCACTGCTCAACGTCCACCAGGGGCTTCAGCCGCCGACAGAAAGAAGAGGATCCATGGAAACGAGGCAAACGGTGGAAGAAGTTGAAGACGGAGAAGAAGAAGAAAGAGGGGCGAAGACTGCGCCAGCAAAGAGCTGCACAGAGCTGATGATGGCAGTGCTGTCTGATGCAACGCAATTCGACGATGTTGTTGTAGTTCGAATGTTGCAGAATGGTGTGATGGCCTATCGGCGGCTGGTGTGGAAAGAGTGGGGGAGAGAGAAAGTATGATTGTGTGCAAGAGCAAGGCTGACGCAGCTGTGCGGCGAAGAAGAATAAGCTGCGGTAGAAGAGACTGAAGATGATGATGATGGTGATGGTGATGGTGGTAATGGTGGTGGTAGCTGAGTGCGTCGGTATATCGTCAGCGACGGTGGCCGTGATAGCGCTGGTGCGCTGAGGCTGCTGTCGAGGCAGGTCTTCGAGGCTGCTCTGGCTGACAACGAGACGATCACTCGTCGACGGCGACGACGACGACCACTTTCAGGGAAACACTGACAGACAAACAGAGAGGGAGAGTGTGGAGGCAAGCTGACACTGGCAGACAATGGAGCGAGATAGCGTCGGTGGTGGTGGTGGGAAGGAGGAGAGAGAATTGGTGGTGGTGGTCGCAGGAATGGCAGAATCAGGAGCGACGGCGCCGGGACTCTCTCACTCACTCTCACTCTCTTTCTCTCTCGAGTCGGTGTTCCTGCCGCCTGACAGTGTGTCGGTCTGTCGGCTGGTGAGCGGATAGGCTGATTGGGTGAGACACTGCCTGAGCCGGGAGCAGAGTGAGCCTCGGACTCGCTGGAACACTCACTCTCCGACTTTCCTGCAGAAGAGGCAACCGAAGAGTCTCAGCAGCGGCCGCCGTGGTGCAGAAACAGCAGCACAAAGGCCTTTTCGCGCGATGCCTGCGTTTGCTGTGGTCGTGGTGGTGGTGGTCGTGGTGGTGGTGGTGTGCCAGCAGTGCTCTTCAGCTTCAGCTTACCACCAAGTGAAGCGGCTGCTCTGCGTCTACAGCCGAAGACTGAAGACCTCTCTGCACTTCTGTCGATGATTGCCGTCGTCGCTGCAGCTGTCGTTGCAGTTCCTCTCCTCCTCCCTCTTCAGCGGCTGATACAGCAGGGACAGCAGTCAGCTTCGTCTTTGTATTGGCCTCCCTGCCTCTGACGATAATGGCACTTCACAGAGTGGCGAAGACACACATACAGTCTTTGCCCGCGCACTCCCGTCGTTTCCGCCGTTGCCTGAATGATCCGATCCTCGGTTTTCGCCTTCGTCTTTCCTTTCTTCCTCCTGACGATGTTCGCTTTCAGACGGCAACGTCGCCGCCGTCTTGGTCTTTGCCAAGCTCTCTTTCTCTCTCTCTCTCTCTTTTCTCTTACTGACACTCTCATCACTGTGAATCAGCGAAGCCGCTGCTCGCCGTCCGAGCTCGCCTGTTCCAAGAGCCCGTTCCAAGTCGTTGAACGATTGCAGCAACAACAGCAGCAGCAGGCAGACACAGTCAGCGACGAGCAGAAGGCTCACTGCCACTGGCAAGGCACTCTGGACGGATGCATGCAGGACGCGGGACAAAGGAAAGAGAAAGAGAGTGAGCGAGCGAGCGAGCGAGCGAAAGAGGAGGCCAAGCGATGGTGGCCGACGAAGGCTTCACCGAAGTGGCAGATAGTTTAGCCTCGTCGAGAGCAGGAGAATGGTACCACCGTCATCAGTGGCACCAGCATTGCCACCACCACCATTGCCTGCACCACCATGAACTTGGCCAGGCGGGCAGGCAGTACACGCACTCTTCTCCTGCGGCCTACCTACCTACCTCGACTACTCGATCCTCGGTGGCCAATTTGCTGATGGCCAGACACGGACAGCACAGGAGAGAGAAAGAGAGGGAGAGAGGGCACAGGAACACTCAAAGCGAGTCAGTGGTGGTGAGCGAAGGAGGACCACTGAGGACCACATAACGTTGATGAGGTGGCTCGGCTCGGCCGCTCCTGTCGTCATTTGGCGTCATTGGCTGACAGCACCATCACCAGCACTCAGTCACCGGACATGCAACAAACTTCCGAGAAGAACGTAACTTTTTATTGTAGCTTATTTAGTATATAGGAGTGTACGGGAGACCAAGAGGACAGATAGTGAGAGTGTAGTGGTGAGTGAGTGAGTGCACTTTTAGTGGGTGCAATCAGCCATCAGGCATCAGTTGGGGATGCTCGCTCTTGGTCGTCGGCGGGTGATGAGCCGATGAGCGATGCCCTCGCTCGCAGCTCTCTCGCTCTCTCTCCCTCTTTCACCCAAGTGAACAGCGACGACAATGATTGGTTAGAGTGAGACGGTGACGGGCGCGGTGATCGTCTGCTGAGGAAAGTCCACAGTGCGTTTGCGTCCTTCGGCCATCACCGCTTCAATCTCCTCGACTGATCGCGGAACGGTCGTCAGCAGCTCAGCGCCGTCCTCAGTGATGGCCACGTCGTCCTCGATGCGCACGCCGCCGAAGCTTCGAAAGCGGTCAATGTTCTCCCAGCGGATAAAGCGGGCCAACTTGGGGTCCGCCTTGGCCCTCTTCAGCTGCGCCTCCACAAAGTACAGCCCTGGCTCAATGGTGAGCACCATGCCGGCCTGCAGCGTTCGACAGGTCCGCAGCTGTCGCAGGCCAGGCAGAGGGTCGCGCTCCGGACAGTGGCCCAGGTAGCCGCCGACGTCGTGCACGTCAATGCCCAGCAGGTGGCCCAGGCCGTGCGGCATGAAGATGAAGCCCAGTCGGGCGGCCATCATCTCCTCAATGTCGCCCTGGAGGAGGCCGTTCTTCACCAGCTCCTCCAGCTCGATCCGCTCCGCCAGCAGGTGCATCTCCTTCCAGGACACGCCTGTTTGAGGGGAAAGGGGTTACCAGGCGCCGTCACCACCGGGCACAAACTAACCTGGCTTGGCTGCCTTCAGTACGGCTCGATTGGCCTTGAGGACAATCTCGTAGATGAGCTTCTGGTCAGGGGTGAACTTGCCATTGGCGGGGAAGGAGCAGGTAATGTCCGAGGAGTAGCAGTAGTACTCGCAGCCCATGTCGAAAAGGCACATGTCTCCGTCTTCGACGGTCTTCTCATTGGGCGCGCCGGCGTGGCCGTAGTGGAGGACGGCGCCGTTCTCGCCGCTGCCGCAGATGCAGGTGTAGGACATGTGCCGTGCGCCGCCATTGTAGTAGCAGTAGTGCTTGAAGATGCTCTCCAGCTGGTACTCCGTCATGCCCGGTCGAATCGACTTCATCACCTCAATGTGCGCCTCACTGCTCACCTTGTTCGTGTAGCGCATTATCTCCAGCTCTTGAGGCGTCTTGATGACGCGGCACTCGGCGATGTGGCTGTGCAGGACCGAGTTGTCCACGGTGAAACGGTCGATGCCTGCAAAGGTCGCCTCCAGTGTCTCCAGGTTAGAGTCGGTGTTGGTGCCTTTCAGCGTGAGCAGAGTGCTCGCCTTCAGACCACTCAAGACATCGGCTAGCTGTGTGTGTGCAAATGTGTGTGCAAACGTGTGAGGGTGAGTTAGTAAAGGACAAGATGAAGAGAGAATTTGTCTAAGATAGTGAGAGAAAGAGAGAGAGAGAGAGAGAGAGAGAGAGAGAGTTGAGAAGACGTCTACGTACCTGTTCGGTGTGGGCCACCTCATCGACCTCGTATCGATTGCGGAAATCTTCGAGGGTATATAGCTTGCCCATCCAGATGGCGTAGACCTCATCCAGTTTTGGAGCAAACAAGTACGACTTGCCAGTGGCCAGGTCGATGGCGCCGTAGAAGTCGGGCTCGCGAACACCAAAAGTCCAGTGGAAGTAGGACTCCTGGCGAAAAACGCTCTCCACGTCAGTGTCGTACAAATTCTGGCCTGTGAGGTGAAGGGAAGTGAAGTGCATCCATTAGAAAGACATCAAAATGAGCTCAATCAGCTCAACTTACCTTTGCCACCAACCAGCAGTACGACTGCATTGGAGGCGACGGCCGAGTCATTCTTCAGTGACTGAATCAGCCGCTGACGATTCAACTTGTGCACACCAGCCGGAATGTGAAGCGTGTGCGCGCCCAGCTGGAAAAGTGATCTACCAGAGAGGAAAAGGAGTAGAAGGTGAGAAATGGCTTCATGGGGTGAAATGCCGAGACAACTTCTGACTTCGACTGGAACAAGTCCCGTACACTTACTTGCTCATTGTGCCTGGGGATGATTGTGTTGACGTGGTAAACCAGAGTGAACTGCAGACAGTGGGAAGATGTCGTCGAGTGCTGTTGGCTAGTGGGCCCAACTTTAAATAGCAGGCTGTAAAGTGTCAATTCACGATTAGAAGATGATGGTGGTGGTGGTGGAAAGAGTGTTGGGCGACGGTGACGGCCAGTCTGACAGTGAGACACACACAAACAGTCAGAGTGCTAAAGGCAGACAGATGCTGCTGCTGCTACTGCTGATTTTGGCTGCTTACAACTCCTACAACACACACTCACAGAGAGGGCTATTCTTCCACTGAGGAACGATAATCGCTTTTCACTGACAAGGAGAGAAAGAGATCTGCTGATGATGATGATGATGATGATGGCGGTGGTGGTGATGCCACTGACACAGCTGCCGAAGAGACAGGGCAATCAACAGCTGCTGCTGATTGGAGCTGCTAAAAGTGGAGAGGCGGAGTAGAGTAAGGTACAGTTGCCTAGATAAGGCAATTTACATTTTTATTATCGCTAGCTATCGCTAGTGAACGAATGGCTGTTGCTGACAGATGATAGTAATGACAATAATGATAATTGAATCAAATTAAATGAAAGTTGTTTTTAGATAGAGAACTTTAAACTTGACTAACTTGACACCATATTGTTTACTTCGTTTACTTGAGACTTCTTGCGACGAAAATTAAAAGTCCCAAGTCAAAACTACTTCCAGTTTGTTGATGTCTTGCATTAGTTTGGCTAAGTCTTCTGAATTTTAAAGTATAAGATTAGTTTGCAAGAATTGTCAAATGAGCGGCAAATGCAGAATACCTTTCAACTGCTTAATTTCCAAATCTTGTACCACTGACTTCATCTTAAGCTTGAGGACTTCATTCAATGCTTCCAGAGCGTTCTCCATCTTGTTACACTCCTCCGAAGAGTCCTTGACTTGAACTATCTCAGGCATTTTGCAAAGTTGATCGAGGTGGCAAGAGCGAAGTTGGCGAAACAGAGAGAAACACAAAAACAAAATGGAATTCGATTTTGTTGTCAATAAAATCGCACAGCGCATGCGCTTGGCCAATCTGATTGAACTTCATTGGACAGGTGACCGGCGGTGGAGCCAGGTCGACTACTATGACGATGACCATCATCTTCAACCCAAAAGCAAATGACCCGTATTGAATTAATGCCTTCAGCTTACCCTTCCCCAGCCCACATAAAAGAAGCCTATTTATTGGAGCAATGCCTCGGTGGAGGGAGACCAATCGACAGCGAAGATGGTGGCAAAATCTATCCGAAGTACTTTCAGAGTGCGTTTTGCAGTACACACTTTTTTAAATGAAACCTTTTCTGTCCTCCAGCAATTGGCTTCTTAGTGCTGACTGCAGCAGTTTGCCGTCTTGGTGATGCCCTTCCTCTGGCCACGGCAAAATTTCCTGGTAAGCAAGGCAACATCACCTTCACGCCCACCAATGGTTTTGGAACATATGTCACGGGCACTCTTACCAATTTAACCTGCAACAACCCAATTGGAAATTTACTGCCAGCTAACCCATTTGTTGGAAACAGGTAACAACTAACTGGTGAGCCGGCAAACATTAAACTGAATTGAACAAACTCTCTCTCTCTCTCTCTCTCTCTCTCTCTCTCTCTCTCTCTCTCTCTCTNCTCGACAGTTCTGTGCCATGCTACGTTGGAATGACAATTCACAATCTTGCAAACGGTCAAAGAAATTCCGGCGTTGAGTCGCGTCAGTTCAACTGGGACCAGATTTTCGGCAACACTGGCAATGGCTCAATTAATCAAGGAGGTAACAACTGCAACAATATTGGGGCCCTCTTCAATCCACTAAAAATGTACACTAATGCATTGGGATTTCTGGGCAACATGGAGGTATTTAACGGGACTGGACGATTCTACGCCGGTCCATTCAACTTTACGGTCGACCAAAGTGTGGCGAATCCATTTTCAGTTCTCAATTTGCCACTTGTCCTCTGGAAAGATGCCATCAACAGCACTCTACAACTAGCCAATCTCTACAATCCGGCTCGTATACTCTCCTGTGCATACATTCAAATGACACAAATGTAACTGACACGTTCAAAACGATAATTGTTAGTCAATATAATTTGCACATACCTGCGAAACGTAAGCCAGCTGACAGCATGAGGGGCAGGACAATAAAAGACTTGAAACAGTCGGCGACGGGGAAGGGTCAATGAATTGGCTTGTGTGCATCAAAACAGGACACTTCTACAAAAGGAAAGATGCTCGAAACGGACAACTTTTTTCACCGCTCAAAATTGTCTCGTTTTAGACTTCCAAGTCCAACTCGATCTACCTGAACACACCTCAGCTCTACAGTTTACAGTTCTGTCGCTGTTATACAGACAATTCTGTGGGTGACGCAACTTGCGAGAGAATGAAGGCATATTTCGTACTTTTGTGCGTTCGGGCAAAAGTTCAGTAAAAAATAGATCGTAACCGAGTATGCGGCGAGCGCCATTGCTCCCTCATTTCACGCAGACAGAGAGCTTGTCTTGGATGTTTATTGTTCAGAGGAGAATATTTACAGTATCCTGAGGTGCCTCGAATCTCTGCCGATGAGTGTCCACTGCTTCGAGAATGTCCGACGCCGGACTCTAGCACCCGAGTAGTACCCGTCACCCTGTGGACAGTGCCGACGCCTTCGCTTGGCTGCTTACGTTGTGAACGTGCTCATCTTGAATATTTATTTATTTATTTATTATACTTGGCGTGTGTGATTACTCTCTGCCATTCGGCGCTGAAGAGTGATGTCTTCCAATGATACCAGTGATTCGGCCAGCGGTGAGCGCCCACTTGAAATGCATTGCTCACAAGGCGAGCCAGCAAGTGGAAGTGCCGGTGCTCAAAGGGACCCTGTTGATGGACAAAATGGCAACTTGGAGCCCGGCGACGACGGTGAGGCGGTTAGCGAAGAGGAAGACGCCGATGAGATCGGTGATTCGGGCGACGACGACGACTCGGGTGATGAGACTGAGTTGGAGGATGAGGAAGAAGAAGAAGAAGAAGATGGGGACGAAGAAAGCGAAGAAGGGGAAAACTCAGACGAAAGCGATGCGGAGACTGCTGAGCCCCTCAAAGAAAGTACCAGCACCGGCCCCATCGCCGCTCCCAGATCGCCAAACAGCCAGCCAACTTGTTACATTTGCCTGAACGAGTTCGAAGGACAGGATGTCGGTAGTCCTGACTCCTGCGAGAACATTCACCACTTTTGCTTGGAGTGCATTGAAGAGTGGAGCAAGGTACTGTGCTGCGAATATGTTACTGTGAATGGTGTTCTCACTACTTATTTGTATTTTCAGCAAGTCAACACTTGCCCGGTGGACCGAAAATCGTTTTCGTTTATCATTGTCAAGCGCGATGTGAACGGCGAAGTCGTTATGAAGGTACTTATTTGCTTGAAAAGTAGAGCACTTTAAAATTACACACACAAAATGAGGAAAATATTTGCGCATTACAGAGTCAAACTCACTGCGGACTGTAAAAGTCCAATTGTGAAATTTTGACAAAGATTACACTTAGTTTTCAATCTGATTTTTCACTACATCAAGTTTATACATTTCTGAAACTTGGCAACTTTTTCGCTAATCTCTGTGTAATTGCAGGTGCCTGTTGCGACTACCCCCGTGCTGGAGACATTCGAGGCATTCGACGATGACCTGACATACTGCGAAATCTGTGGGCGATGTGACCGCGAGGATCGACTGCTTCTCTGTGATGGCTGCGACTTTGGCTACCACTGCGAATGCCTCACGCCGCCCATTGATGAAATTCCCATCAACGAGTGGTACTGCCCAGAGTGCATGGACAGCCTCTACAATGCAGTGGGAATGCAGAACCCCAATCGACGACAATCGACCACAACCCGAACCCGGGCAATAGCTCGAACGGGCGCCTTTGAGATAGTCCGCAATCGCATCCTGGCACGTCGCACTACCGAACCGGGACAAAGTCAACGTGCCAGCACCAGCGGCACTTCCACCACAAGGAGAACTTCCGCCACCACCCGTACGACCACCACCACTCGAAAAAGGAAAACCACTAAACGCAGAAAGAAGACGACTAGAAAAACAACTAGAAAGTCAACAAAGAGTGCCAGCGGCGGCGGAAAGAAGGGCAAGAGGAAAACCACTAAAAAGCGGCGAAAGAGCAAGCGAAGTCGGAAGTCGAAGCTCTCCACCCAACGCCTGCCTGCTTCAGCGGTTGTTCGCAATCGTCTGGCCTCCATACTGGGCATCAGCTGCAAACCCAAACCCTCACAACTGGGACTTCCAAGTGTGAAGAAGGCAAAGCCCCTTAGCGTGGCCGATGTTCGCGCCTCAGCAGGAATCGGCAATCTGTCCATGTTCGGCCACGAGCATGACCTGTACGAGCCGCGCTCCTACGGTGAGGACTTTGATTTCGAGACGAGCGACAGTGGCTACGGCGGCGTCGGCTGCCTGACCGCTCGTCCTCGAAGTCATTTTTCGCACTCAATCAGCAAGTCGATCAAAGCGCCGGTGAGGATAGCCAGCAGTAGCAGCAGCTCTTCGGTCGATCTGCTCGGTGATATCATCAGTTCCATGGAGATTCTGCACTCATCCACCGCTGATCTGACCATTGCCCGAGATGGGAGAATTCAGCTGAAGGCAGACGCAAAGTGCATTCAGAAATGCCCCGACTCAAACTCACACTCTTCGCCATCGTCCAGCACATCTCCGCCACACAACAGCAACGGCAGCAGCAATGGCAGCGGCAGTGGCAGCAACAGCAACAATGGCTACCTGAAGCATGTCGGTTACTCTGAGCAATCATCATCAGCAGCAGCAGCAGCAGCTGGTGGTGGTGGTGGTGGTGGTGGCAATCATCAGGAGAATGACATCAGTCTGGTGAAGCCTTCCCCAGTGGTGGCTCTTCTCGATGAGAAGCCTGACTTTGAACTGTACAGCGATATTGAGTCGGTCGGTGATAACAAGGAGGAATC